TAAAAGGGGTACATTAATAATCTTTTTTCTCAAAGCAATGATAAACCTGTGAGTTGGATGTAGACAAGTCAGAATCAATATAGATGTTTTTATTTTTAAAGTAAATTCAGATTGAAAATAGTAAAAAAAATGTAAATTATAGTTTCCGTCCAAAAGAAATAAACATTACTTATAGTGAAAACCACCCTTGAATGATGGGATAGTAGACTAAAAGCGTTAGGAATCCAAACTATAACATATAATAAGTACCCTGTATCAATATTGATGCAAAACAAGTGACATTTGACCTTTTTTAAGAGAGATTTAGCACAAAAAAAACACTTCTGGGGTCATTTGGGTGGATTTGACCTATCTGAGGCCCCCCTTGCTCGATTTTGCTGATTGACATCTCTTTTTAACCGTTAGAGCCAATAGAATCGAGGGGAAGTTCCTAAAATCTGTTACCCATTGGTGAATGAGTGATGCGTAGCCAGAACCGGAAGCTGTCATACACTCTAGCTATCGTAGCAGTTAATATGAAATCTCCGTTATTGACATAAAAATGTAATGATGGATTATCAGTAATAATTTCAAAGTGACACAGACACATTGGATTAACCTTCAGCAGCGTTTTTCTCGTTTCAATGCCATTGAACACAACTTTTGATCAGAAACAGCAAAAGGTAAGACAAATTGGCAATGTTTGCTCCGTAAAGCTACGTGGTGTGATGTCTGGGTTTGCTTCCCCTGTCGCGAGTTCTGATCGCTCAGTGATGATACTTATATTTGTGGAATTTGTGGAATATCAGCTTGCTAATCGATATCTTGTTTGTGCAGATCCGATAAGTAATAAGGGTATTTTACCTTGAGTTCTGTGCTAAGTGCGTTAGCATTTTTTCCGCTCAGGGCTAATTCAGAGCCTTTGTTATTACCCTTTGGTTTCGTTTAGCTAAAAATTGTTAATATTGTCTGATAGCTATCAGTTAAGTGGGAATGACACATTCATAGTTTGTTAAATGTTAATAAGCCCTCAGACGCTGTTTCTTGCAAGATGTTGTGTTTCCCCCCCGTTGGGTTTAACTGGATAAAGCTGAACCAAAACATCTGTCATGTCCAAATGTTATTGCGGATATTTCAGTGTTGGACCTCAATATTCGAATATTCTGATAGTTGTTCTTTGGGTGGATATTCAGCGTTTTTGTACTAAATTTAGGCTATCAATTAAGGCGAACTGCAAAATAAGTCTTGTCACATGTTTTTATTTGAATAGTTAAAATCTGGAAATATGTACCCTTTCATTTTTGGTGATCCCATTGTTAGCAATACACGAAGAATCATTTCTGGAAGAGACCTTCATGAATCATGCTCAGACTTTGTATTTTCTTTTTAAAGACTAAAGCATATCTTGGTTGGAGACGTATTAAAGATATTGCAATTGTGTAATGGTAATAGGAGAACTACACGACATGACTATCTGACGTTTTGACCACCACACGGTTGTGTCCACAGGATGTGGTGAGATTAAGGATGACCACCAAACATTAAGCACATTTAATTTAACTGTTTGGAAACTGCCAGCAACAAGAACACAATAACACAAAGACACTAACCCTAACCCTGCTCTTATATTCCTGACTGATCAAATTCTAGTGATGGAAAAATACATAATGCATTAATCACCAACGCCTCCATTCAAAATGCAATAATGTCCTCATTGTGTGACCTTTGAAAACTCATCGGCAGGGTTTATAGTGATTATTAAAGGTAGAAATCCACTTTAATCCCTCAGTCTAACATATGTGGGGCAAACCTGAAGCCTTTAATATCTTCAGTGTTTGGTAAGGCAGGTAAATCCCAGCTGTCAGATTTCATTCAGGTGAAATCAGTCGGTCATAGTGTTGCTGAAAAGAAACCCAACGACCCTTTTTTTTTTATCAGATTGCTTTCCATTGTTTCTCATGTCTGCTCCAAACACAATATTTCTCCACGGTTCATATTTTCTGTCCACAATGATTTATATTATTTTATTCTTTATACATTATTTTTACTAAAATGTATAGAACTCTGTTTCATTCAGTAATGTAAGAATATAATTTCATATAACATAGAATACAAATATTTATAAAAACATAGGAAGTTGAAGTAAAACTGTGTATATTTTACCAGTGACATCAATTATTACAGGTTCATTATTACAATATATACAGTGTTTTATTAGCATTAATAAGATATTAATGCTGAATTGCACAGTTTAAATTGGCACATACTTATTTATTTATATATTTATTTGACAGGGACAGTGCTCATTGATTGACATTTCTGTAAATGCGCCAGAGTTAGCCAACAGGCTATTTTTCGTCTGTAGTCCCTGGACAGATGTTGAAAGTCATCCTAAAAACAAAGATTCACTTCAAATAACAGGTAAATACAATCAGTAGAACAACATTCAACAGAGATGCTTATATTATGATAAAAGCATATATAAAAACATAAAAATAAAATATATATTCACAAAGCAGACAGATAGCAACAGGTCAAGGCACATGTACAAACAGAGCGTTGTAAAGTGCAGATTGTGTCAGTGTTGACAGAGCTGACTTTCCACTAACCATGATTTTAAGTTAGATTTTAAATAAACTGCAGGTGTTTTGTTCTCTAATCTTTACTGGGATTGAGTTCCACTGTTGTGCAGCTTTAAAAGAAAAAGAAGATTGGCTGAATGAGCTCTTCCTTAATGGAACAACGCAGTCTCCTCTTGTTGCAGCTCTAGTTGACGTAGTTACAGGTGTGCGTATGGTGATAAAATGTCTAATAATAGCTGAATGATATCATTAGTATTTAAAAACAGATAATTTAGTTACAACTCAGTGATTATAGCTTACCTTTCCACTGCAGCATCACTCACATGGAGTTTGTTTTTGGGAAATGTTTAAGGAATCCAATTTCGGACCAGTCACTTATTATGGGCCTGAAAAGTACTCACGTTTTATCAAGGATGCGTGTGTTTAATTTACTTTACCCTCATTTTTCTTTTGATGTCCTTCTTCTGAAATGCACAGTGGCTCCATATGACCTCGAGTGAGTCAAAGACCGCCAATATTATAAAAATACTTCACTAGTCGTCACGTTACTCTATTGAACAGATTCCCTTTTCATCATAGAACATCCTCTGCTTTTTTCACCATCAATATTGGAAAATGGGTATTTTTGTTTTAAACCAGAGTAATAATTAAGCGCAGTAAAACTAAACAAATACACAGCTGTATGACCATGGCTCAACATTCCCAAGTTTTCATCATGCATGCCACCATCACAGCGCTCTGAGAGAATGAGCTCACCTTTACATTCAGTGCCTTAGTGTTGTGTAACGGCTGCTGTGAGACTCATCACTGAATAATTATTATGGTGGTTTCACACCCACTTAATGCTGTTTTTTTTTCAATGGCAGAAGACTTCCATGGAAACTGAGTCACGGTTTCTGTAATAATAATAATAATAATAATAATAATACACTTTATTTGTATAGCACCTTTCATGCACAAAGCAAAGTTCTTTACAGAAAACATAACAACAATATTAAAATAATACTAAAATGAATACAGAACAAAATAAAACCTCTACAGTGATAATATGTTAAAATAGACAATTTAAAAAAGAAAAGAAAAATATTTAAAAGAAAAACAGACAAAAATACAGTAAAACATGGAGAATGATGCACGTGAGAATTGAAAGTTGACCCACATTAAAAGCCATATTAAAAAGATAGGTTTTTAATAATAACTCTATGTATAACAAGCTTTTTACTTTGTTTCATTATTACTTTGGTTTTATTGATGGTGAACCTGACACCTGCAGATAATGTTCTGTACTATGGCATAAATTGCATGAATTCACACCACAGTGTAAGTAGTACCAGAAGAAGCTGTGGCCATATTTCACTCTCTGGCTCCAATATGACGGCTAAGGCAGTGAGAACATATTTGGATCGTTTTTTGTTTAAAATGTTATTATATAAGAAAATTGAAACAGCCGTTTAAAGCCGAGAAATCTGATCTGTTGCCTCCAGAAAAGAGGGACAGTTTTGTTTTGTTTTTAGATGATTTTTGTGGATATGCAATTAGGAATGCACTTTTTAAATTCAGGTTTATATTGGCAAGTATAACATCTGATGTATTGGACATAATCTAGTTTGTTTATATCCTATAATACAGGCATGCTTAATTGTATTCTATAGAAATCCTTTAACCTGTTTTTTTTTCTTTCACGAAACTGTCTCAGGGCTTCTTAAGATTTAAAAACCTATTAATGTGTCATACCCACTTAACGGGAAGAAACTCAGCTAACTGAAGATATGAACCATTTTTACCGAAACAAAACACAAGTCTCACAAGAAGCGTCTAAATGAGCCCTGAGCGAAAAAATGCTAACGCACTTAGCACAGAACTCACGGTAGAAATACTTTATTACTTATCGAATCTGCACAAACAAGATATCAGCTAGCAAGCTAGAAATATAAGTATCATCACTGAGCGATCAAAAGTCGCGGCAGGGGAAGCAAACCCAGACATCACACGACGTAGCTTTACGGAGCAAACACGGAAAATAGTCTTACCTTTGCTGTTGTTCTGATCAAAAGTTTTGTTCAATGGCATTCAAACGATAAAAACGCTGCTGAAGGTTAATCCATAGGTTGATCCAGCTGCTATTAGAGCTACAACCCAGCTTCCGGTTCCGGGGCATTCTGGCTGCGCAGCACTCATTCACCAATGGGTAATGTTTAGATGGATTTTAGGAACTTCCCCTCGATTCTNACATGTCTCTGAAGTGTTTGGCTCCAAACACCAAACAGAACATTGCAGCATTACCCATAATCCCCTCTGTTTCAGCCCTGTTTCCAAAGTGCTGATTCTCTGTCTGTTACTTTAGATGAAAATAAGGAGCCCCTCCCCACGCCCCTCTGAGAGATATTTGGTTACAAAGAACACAATGGAGCTCTAGGAGGAGATTCAGGTGATAAGGTGGGGGGGGGGAGGTTTTTATAGGAATGGATCAGGACAAAAAGAGAGAGAATCTTTTTTCCTGAAACTTTCAGAGTCTCTTTCCACAGAGGGGACACATGTTGATGTAAAAGAGACATGAACAAGTAGATTTTGCATAATAGGTGATCTTTAAATATTTAAAAATATATTAAAGATTCATTTACCGTTTGTCCTGTTCATGCAGACGATGAGGTCGATCTGCAACAAGGCAATAAAGGAAGCGAAGAAGGAAGCTCCAGTGGGGGATCGCCACAAACCAAACGCAAAGGAAAGTTCTCCAAGATGGGACGGATCTTCAAACCCTGGAAATGGAGAAAGAAGAAGCCGAGTGACAAGTTTACTGAAACATCAATAGGTATGTTGGGTTTAAAGGTGTTGTAATGACTTGTCGTGTGCATCACTCTACGCTTTCATTAGACACAAACGTTACTTTTCTTTGTTATTACTTAGAAAAAAACTATCAAATCTTTTGATATTGGCAACAAACTTGAATAATCCACATTTAAATATGACAGTCTGTGTTAGGGAATCTACTCTGAGTGTTGGGGCATTCATCCATTTTGTGCACAGTGAAAATTGTTTCACAGTTTTCCCTTTTGTATATTTTCTATTTTCAGTCTTGGAAAGAAGGATTTCTGTCCGAAAAAGCCGCCAAGAGCTGATTGCCAGAGGGGTTTTAAAGGATATTCCAGAAAGTGGTAGGTCGAGCCTTTTCTGAGGATATTCTATGCATGCATATTCATATTTATATTTTTGTGTAAATATTGGCTTTATTTTTCATTTGTTACAATAGTTTTTAAATAGCTTTTATAATAGAACTATTCTTTGCTAATTTTTTATTTTTATTTTAAATACATTTTTATTTCTGTGTCTCTGGATGCACCATTTACACCAAAGCAAATTCCTAGTATGTGTAAAACTACTCGGTAAAAAACGATTCTGATGATTCGGTTCCCTTTTGACTGTATTTCACTGATTATGTCTTCAGAAAACAATGATGTCAACCACTCCAAAGGTCCACCAGTCAAAAACGGACACCCTGTGGACGTGGACAGGATGTCTCGAGGGGAATCCGACGCCAAGTTGAATTCCCTCCGGGTTCCTCAAGCCGAGGAACGTCGAGGCAGAGCGCCGTCCGACGCCTCCCGGAGTAACAGAGCACCTCTGGACGTGGACTCTCACGCTCGACTTCCTGTGGAGCCAGACAGGAGAAGCCGACTCCCATCCGATGTTGATAAGAGAGGAGGATCGTTACCCCGAGGACCTCCACAGGACGATAGGTACCGTAGAGAAGAGAGGAGGGATGGGAAAGACGACCGGGAAGACAGAGGGAGGAAGAACCGCGAAGACGTAGAAAGAAGGGATTGGCGAGATGAAAAGGAAAGAGACGGTGGAGTCGACCGGAGGGATAGGCGAGATGACAGGCGAGATGACCGGACAGAAAGAGACAACAGGGAAAGGAAAGATCGCGAGGAGAAGGAAAGAAAGGATAGGGATGAGCGGGAGCGCCGGGATCGGGACGAGAAAGAACGCAGAGATCGTGACGAGAGGGAAAGGAAAGACAAGGACGAAAGAGAAAGGAAAGACCGGGACGAAAAAGAAAGGAAAGACTGGGATGAAAGAGAACGGAAAGACCGGGACGAGCGGGATAAGGATAGGGATCGGCGGCCTGAGAGGGAAAAGAGAGAACATAGAGACGACAGAAAAGAAGACAAGGAGAGGAAAGACTTGAGAGAAAGAGACGATAGGGATAGGACGGAGAACCGAGAGAGGCGGGAGGATCGGGACAAAAGGGACGACTGGGCCAAGAGGAACGATAGAGAGCGAAGGGACGAGCGGGATAAGAGGGAAAAGCCGGAGCCTCAGCGCTCGGTGGACGACCCTCGGCCCATCGCCAAGCCCTCCTCTGAGATGGACTTGCGGCCTCCTCTGCAGAAAAGTTCCTCGGAGGAAAACAAGAAGATCCGCTCCGCCTCGGAGGCCGATAAGAGGTTCACTCTGCCCAGATACTCACCGGCTGCAGAGTTCAGGGAACGCTCAGGTAACATTTTCCTTTGTGTTGGGAACTGGCTTACCTAGCGTGTGTTTTTTATACTTTAATTAGACACCCGCATCCAAAGTTACTTGGGGGATCTTTAAGTCATGTTTTTTGTCGGAGCCATGTGCTTCTTATTTTTAAATCTAGTTAAAAACCAAAATATTTTGTTATTGACGGCGAACTTGACAAATCCATATTAATATAATATAAGAGTCTAGGGCAGGGCTATTCAATTGGCGGCCCGCGGGCCAAATCCGGCCCCGGGGTGATATTTACTGGCCCTTCGAGTAAAATGTTAAAAAGTAATCTACTTTTTAACATTTTCTTTTTTGGGCCAGAGTGCCTTTATTCCAGAAAGGGTGTTACATTGAGAGATAGAGGGGAAGACATTGCCTGAAAACTTCGGCGGGCTCGGGTTTCGAACCCAGCTACTAGCCACTGTAGTGACAACTCCTGTCATTTATTGCATCTCTGCGTGAATGATAAGATCATTTCACCTAAATTAAATCAAATTAAATGATGTTGATGGTTAAATTAGCTTGACATGTCGGCCTACTGAGTTCTGAACTTGCCATTTAGATCTATAAAGGCCTTGGGGCTATGTTGTTTGATTTAAAGCCCCTGTCACACTGTCCCGAAATTGACACCCGATGGACACACGATTAAGGACATTTTCAAATTCGCCTCTGATCGTAACAACATCGGGCCATTCGTGAGGGCATCTTAAGCCATCGTATGACCGCCGGTGGAGTTTCTCAGGCTCCGGCAGCAACTTCGGGAGCGGTGGCAACATCTTTGGCATCACAAAGCATTGCCGAAGGACCTTGTGAAGGTTCATTTTCGTGTTGACTTTGTGTGTCCATTTTGCCCTTCGTAAGGCATTCGTGAGGGCATCTTAAGCCATCGTATGACCGCCGGTGGAATTTATCAGGCTCCGGCAGCAACTTCGGGAGCGGTGCAAAGTGTTTGCCATGGCTTAAGATGCCCTCACGAATGGCCCGATGTTGCTACGATCAGAGCCGAATTTGAACATTTCCTTTATCTTGTGTCCATCTGGTTGTTTTATTGCACAACAAAATCATGTAAACATATTATGTAAATAACCCAATTTGTGTTCTGTGAAACTAAAAAGGATATAATATATTATTTTGAAGGCGAGGAAGTTGTTGTTGCTATGGAAACAACATGACGGAGAAAACTTAATATCTTCTACATATAAAGTACGGAGAAAGTAAAGTACAAAGTCTGAAAAATATCAGTACAGTATCATAATACTTTTAACATAATTGTTTTGTGTTACTTTTGTTGTAGTTGTATGTCTTAAATGTAATGTAAATGTTGCCTTCGTGTGTGGTTCGGGGCCATCTTCGTGCGAAATTCACAATTCCATATTCGTGTGTCCATCGGTGTCAGATTTCGGGGCAGTGGGTGACAGTGGGCTAAGGGTTACGGACACTTTCTACCTTCGTGGTGTGCTCTTCACGTCAATGTTCTCTATTTCTCTCTCACACTGTGCATACTGTCTGTAATACATGTGCCATTTGATTCAGTAATAATTCATAAATGATCCCAATGGGAACTGGCAAATGGCACTGCTATGATACCCAGGAAGGTGCACCATACATTTAAGAGCTTTTGTGGAATCCTGGAACTTCCACACTCCATACCGATGTATCTTTGTTATGGTCAGAGAGAGACACTTTGTTTGTTTATTATCATATATATTTTAAATGCCACAACCTGTTTAAAAAAGGCGGACGCGTCTTACCGATATGGACAAGCTGGATCACCCCAGGGGTAGAGAATGTAGCTACTAAAAGGGAAAGCTCTCTTTAACTTCTACCCTTAAGACAAACAACCTACAACAGGTGCTCTGCCTCACCTCCAAACTACACACACCACACACACACCACACGTCACACACGCACACACTATCACTCACACCACATCACACAGCACACACAACACACACACACACACCATCACACAGACACACAATGTCCCTGCACCTGTGTTCGCAGTTGTGCAAACAGCTTACTGCGGCCTTTAAGTGTCTGAGGCCAGCTGCCTGTTTGTAATGCACTTCGCCTGCCATAGAATCTCTAACTAAAAATAACTAAAACACATTCATCTGTGTGGAAATGTGCAGATTATTTGAGCGTCCTTGATGGTCTACACCAGGGCTATTCAATTGACGGCCCGTGGGCCAAATCCGGCCCGGGGTGATATTTACTGGCCCTTTGATTATAATGTTAAAAAGTAATCTACTTTTTTAAATTGATTTATTTTTAAAGATGTTTTATTTTTAAGATGTTTTATGTTTTATTTTTTAAAGATGTTTTATTTATTTATTTTTGGGCCAGAGTGCCTTTATTCCAGAGAGGGTGTTAAATTGAGAGATAGAGGGGAAGACAATGCCTGAAAACTTCTGCAGGCTCGGGTTTCGAACCCGCCTACTAGCTACTGTAGTGACAACTCCTGTCATTTATTGCATCTCTGCGTGAATGATTAGTTAATTTCACCTAAATTAAATCAAATTAAATGATGTTGATGGTTAAATTAGCTTCACATGTAGGCCTACTGAGTTCTGAACTTGCCATTTAGATCTATAAAGGCCTTGGGGCTATGTTGTTTGATTGAATTAAACACAATATATGCACTCCACTACAGTATTTACTGTATCCAAAGCTCTTAATATGATTGCTCATATTTCAAGCCATCTTTTTCCCGGATCATTTTCATCAACCGGCCTCCACTCCAAACTAATTGAATAGCCCTGGTCTTCACTGTTATAAAGCATAATACTGCCGTTTAAGTAAAAAATATGTTGTTTTTCTGCCTGCCGAGTTGTGAACTTACATTATCCCTACTGTTACCAACCACTTTGAAACCAGAAAAAGACACAAATACACAACATTATTCAAGGTAACATCCTGTTTCATTTGATTCCCTGTGATGGTGCTGTACCTCCTTTGTCCATGTGTTGTGGTTGTCAGTTGTCACTTTTTATCCAGTTTTAAGTCACATTTTTACAATAAATGTTTTTGATCTTGGTAATTTTGTACTATATTTTTTCACCAGATGAAAGATTGTACTCATTGAATGTCTGCATCTTAAACTGGATGCACACACTTTTGCAGAATCTCCCCCCCAGACCCCTTTTTTACACACACATTGTAAACATCAAACAGCTTTATTTAGAATTTTGAATCAACTGGTCAGTTCGTTTTAGAGCGGGGGAGATTGCTGAGGACAGTTCGTCTCTCGGAAAAATCTCTTGAATCTTAATTTATTGTAATAATAATTGAATAAATAATAATTGAATAAACTAAAGCATTTAGATTACAGCCTCGCCCTTTTGTATGCCAAACTGCTTTTGAGAGACACTGATTCTTAGCGTAAAACGACTTTATTCAGTGTTTTTACTGTTTGAATCAACTCCTCCGATAATTAGGCTGCAGGATAAGATAAACAAAAAATAAATCCTTAATTGGAGAAAGAGCAAATCCCTTGATCCCACACTACGTTACAACACTACAGAAACCTGACGCCTAGTGGCAGAAATCTACATATTGTGAATTAAAGTGCTACCCACAATACAAGGTTTTTGTTTTAACTAAATCAAATTTGACACTGAATACCATAAAACCTGAATATCAATAGCCGCCACATTCTGTTCAAACGCAAGCTTTCTTGTTTTCCTTATATATTCCACCCATGCATTTTCTCTCTTACCTCGTACTCCACGTACTCCTCCTCCTCCACCTCATAGGAGACCGTTTGGATCTTGATGTTTTCCCCGTCTTCCAGCAGCTTGGCCTGAGGGTCTTCTGTGGCAGGCGTGTCCGCCCCCGTTGTGTTGGACGCCTCCTTGGCTTTCTTCTCTGTGAACGTGGTCTCACAGCACTCGCTTTTGTATTCCTTAGCCTTGATGCTGCCACTGTCTTCCTTGTACAGGATGAAGTTGGGCCGGTAGAACGCCTCGACCGCCAGATGCAACGAGGTGGCGTCCAAAAGCTGCTGAGATTTCATCTTCCCGTTGGTGTTGTAACTACCTCCGCTCACTGCGTTGCCATTATTCACATTTCCTCCTCCCCCTCCCTCCCCTCCACCTCCAGCATAATAGTTAATAATGTTCTCCTGGTACTGGTTATTGGGGAAGTCGCCCCCGTAACCGTTGACCATGTGCTTACTGTTTTTGTCCAACAACGGGTTCTGAAGCTCACTGAGATTCTCCATAGCAACGGGGGTCAAAAGGTGACCGGGAGAAGCTTTTCTTAGTGACGTTAGCTCTTGTAGAAGAGGGGAAAGTGACAGGTGAACTGAGACGGGATGTGGTGCTCACTGGCCTGCGTTGATGTCAGTCAAGGTTTCAATGGCATTCAGCACTGAGATCTGAAGGGGAAACAAACGGAGACAGGCGGAGCTTTTAGATCCAATGTAAAAACTGGAAGGAGGATTTCATTTGACATCTACCAGCAGGTAACAGTTACCCAAACACATGCTCGCATCTGATCAAAGTTTGGCCGTCATTCCCTCAGCAGCAACAACTTTTACAGCATCCCGCCTGCCGAGAGCTGCACCCTGCAGATGATTCAATTAAGTTTAATTTGCCTCCTGACTCTGGACACATTAAGTAACTGACACACACACACACACACACACACACACACACACACACACACACACACACACACACACACACACACACACACACACACACACACACACACACACACACACCAGAGCAGTAGTAACAGCAATACATCAAAGCGTTGCCATCTACTTTAAAATAATGTGATGTGATTGCTCCATTGTTTGGGTTTTATTAGGTGTCATCAAGATGTCATTAGCTTGACTTTCTGATGAGTATCAGTTAATGCCTCCTACACCTTAATTGGTTGTTCAGTGTTTACACTTTTTCATAACTATGTGAATCTATAAGTATTGAAGATGAGCATACAAAACTTAAAACAAATTTGAAATATGCAAAAAATGACAAAATATTAACGGCTGCCAACTCCTTTTTTGATAATGTGTT